TCAGTTTTCCCATATGCTCAGCTCTTCCAATACAGTTACAACATTGCCATCTACCCAACTTTCTGGAAAATTGCCAGAATATGTCCTGTGCACAAATAGCAGGACAAATCTAACCCAGCCATTAATTTCCCTACCAGTATACTGTTGAGCATCAGTAAAGTGATGGAAGGTGTCATCACCAGTGCTATCGAGTAGCACTTGCTCAGTGACGCCCAGTTTGGGTTCTGCAGGGCCACTCAGCTACTGACCTCTTTCCAGTCTTGGTTCAAACAAAATGAACTAAAGAGCTGAATTCTAGAGGTGAGTTGAGAGTGATAGCCCTTGATATCAAGGCTGCATTCGATCGAGTGTGGCTTTGATTAGCTTCCAGTCTGCAACTCACTCTCAGGTATCAGTTATTCTATATATAATTAGCTCAGACCCCTCAATTAGATTCAGTCTGTATCACACTCCTGATTCCGGTCTGTAACTCATAGTGAAAATCAGTCATATGAGACTAATTGGAGGTAGGGGAATATGTTAAATGGAATAACATGTTTCCTTGAAATGCTGCACACTCTGTTGTAATTAGTTTGAGGAAAGAGTCCTAGGTAAATGGTGAATTTCAAAACCTTTGTGATTAAATAATTGTGTTTGTAATTTCATTTTCTGGCCAGAGTAAACTTCCAAATATTATTGGAGTATTTACGTCAATTTTCAATTCTGGATGATAAGATTTCTCATCCTAAATGCTATTTGGTGTGAATTTGTGCTCTAAAATGGGGAAAGTGGGAGTTTTAGACAAGTAATTCTCTTTGAACAGAATTATCCAGTGACAAAAATTAAACCATGTCAGATAGAACAGACAGCAGCTGGGACAGTTATTTTGCAAGACAAGACAGGTAAACTTGAGAATGTAGCTGCCGGTGTTTCCCTAACTGTTCCAACGCTGTGTAGTGAGACAACACAAGTGTGTAATGTCACCCAGGAGCCGCAAGGCACAGGCAAAGGATTAGGACCCTGAAGCACAGTTATGGAAAAGATTAAAAAGTCCCTTTCCCCCACTGAAGTTAAAGAAGACCTTTGTGAAAACTGGATTGTGTTCACACAGAGTTCCCACGACAGTGACAATGAAGCATTCCTTATATTTGACTGAAATCAATGTTAAAACTAGGAGTAGTCCAAAAGAATAGAATAGACTTTATTGCCACGTGCACTCGAAAGAGTGCAGTGAAAAGTTTGTAATGTCATTTCTCGGCACCATCTTAGGTACAGGATACCTAGGTACAGATACTTTATGTGCTGTTGCAGAATTGAAATAGTTTTTAAAAAAGACTAGCATGGGAATACAGAGTTTAAAAAGTCCAGAATTATAATAAAGATATCCCTAAGTACTCAAGTTATAATCCTTTCTTGCTGAATCTGTGCCCACCGGGCTTCAGTAATCACAGCCTTGCTGCCTCCACAGGGCTGGCCTCTATCCAGGACTTGCCTCCAGGACTCGTCTTCCCCTCCCCACCCCCCGGCCCCGGAATAGGTTCATGATTTTAAAATCCTATTTAATTGTAAGTTTTCAGAATTGTTCTTTATTAAACTGGTGCATGGGGATTAAAAAAAAGGCTTAGCTTGGCCTCAAAACATTGATAAATCTTTTTGGAAGACATCCAATTTGAATTCTGAATTTGGAATAAATTAGAAATCGAATATTAAATATTTAATAGAATATAAATTAGCATAGACAATAGAGAGTAAAATGACTGTTGATAGTCTTTTTAAACTGAATACTTGAAAGTATGCCATGGTATCGCCTGGTGACGGGCCGTGCCTCATCTGAGCCCAGCAGAATGCACTCTTAGTGCTGACTGTTTTAAATCTTCTCTCTCACCTTCTGTAGGGTGGATTGTGTTCTTTGAATATGATCAATGCACTAGACTTCTTCCAGAGCCACAGTGAATTGTGTTTTTTTTTAAATATTTTGAATAGATTGCAAGAACACAGTGAGGGAGCTGGAAGTCTTGTGGAGTCTTTGAAAACAGGTGAATCCTGAACTGACTGCAGTCATTTGAAGCTTTAGTATAAGAGCACAATTTAAAACCACTGAGGCTAGACATAATTGTTTCTGAAATTGGGATTGATAAAGTTACTTGCTATAAGTTGCCAGTTCAAGCGCACAGTGGAAAATTCAATGGAATTTTGAAGGGAAAATGCATTTAAATCTTTTAACTTTAATTTAAAATAAGAGCCAATGGATACAGTGGAGGTAGTTTTAATTTGTTTCAGAATAAAATGGGATAGATTAATTTATTACCAAACAAACAATTGACCATTAATGAAACCTGTTAGCCCAACAATACTGCTGAGGCTGTATATCACCAAAACCTTGGAGTCTTTTGTTGTCAGTTTGAATTTGGAATAATTTTGAAAGGAAAGTCAAGTATAATGTCGTGAGTTATGTTTGGAAAAAAATTAAGTATTTTGTTGTCAGAAAGGTTAAATAAACAAAGTTGTTTCAAAGCAGTGCTTGAATCCACACAGCACTAATGTTTGTTACTCTCTGTTTTACAGCTGTTGTGAAAACACATTCTGTTGTTTACTCTGTATAGTGAAGATTTCTCCAGAGTTCCTGAATCAGCTAAGCCATTAGCAAGTAAGCCATTGGTCACAGTATACCAACTTATTCTGACTCTGCATTCTGCCTATTAACCTGTCTTCAGTCCATCCTAGTATATTGCTCTCAATTCAATTCAATTTCACTCTATTAGTCTTCTGTGTGAAATGTTGTCAAAAGCCTCCTGAAAGTCTAAATACTCCACACTCACTGGTTCCCACTTCTTAATTCTGCTGGCGACATCCTTAAAGAGCACACATCAGGTTTCTCAAACGTAACTTCCCCTTAATAAATCTGTCTCTTCTGTCCAATCAGACATTTATTTTCTAAATATCCAGTAATCACATCCTTTCCAGTAGGTATGGAAAAGGATAGACCTGATCTAAAAGTTCAAGTTCAATATTGGTGGACGACCAATTTTGACAATATTAGGCAAGAAATTTCAAACATTGATTGGGACAGATAATTCACATGTAAAGGGATGGTTGCAAAGTGGGAGGCCATCAAAAATAAGATAACGAGAGACCAGAGGCAGTATGTACCTGTAAGTGTGAGGCTGATAGATGTAGGGAATGATGAATGACTAAAGAAATTGAGCCTCTAGTCGAGAAAAAGGAGGAGGCATGTGGTAGGGATAGACAGCTGAGATTGAGTGAATCACTTCAGGAGTAAAACAGAAGTTTAAGTACACTCAAGAGGAAAGTTAGGAAGGTAACAAGAGAACATGAGAAACCTTTGGCAAATAGGGTTAAGAAGACTTGAAAGAGATTCCACAAAGACATTAAGGACAAAAGAGTAAAGAGGGAGAGAATACGGTCCCTTAAAGATCAACAAGGCTGCCTATGTGTGGAACTGCAGGAATGGGTGAGATACTAAATGAGTATTTTGCATCAGAATTAATTGTGAAGAGGCTACAGAACTTGAAGAATAAACAGTGATATCTTGAAAAGTGTCTATGTTACAGAGGAGGAAATGCTGGACATCTTAAAATGCATAAAGGTGGATAAATCCCTGGGATGTAATCGGGTGTATCATAGAACTATGTGGGAAGCCAGTGAAGTGATTGCTGGACCCCTTGCTGAGATATTTTTATCATTGATAGCATGGGTGAGGTGCTGCAAGACTGGAGGGTGGCTAATGTGGTGCCATTATTTAAGAAAGGTGATAAGGACAAGCCAGGGAACTACAGACCAGTGAGCCTGAAATCAGTGGTGGCCAAGTTGTTAGAGGGAATTCTGAGGCTCAGGATCTCCATGTATTTGGAAAGGCAAGAATTGATTACGGATAGTCAACGTGGCTTTATGTGGGAAATTGAGTCTCACTAACATGATTAGTCTTTTCTGTCACTTCAAAAAAAACTCAAAGGCAAAACTGTGGATGTTGTCGAGATATAGTTCAGCAACATATTCGACAAGGCTCCGTATGGTAAACTGTTTCACAAGGTTAGATCACATGGAATATTGGGAGAGCTAACCATCTGGATACAAAATTGGCTTGAAGATAGGAGATAGAGGGTGGTGGTGTAAGGTTGTTTCTCGGACTGGAGGCCTGTGACCAGTGGTGTGCCGCAGGGATTGGTGATGGGTTCGCTGATTTTTGTCATATACATAAATTATTTGGACATAAATGTAGGAGATACGATTAATAAGTTTGCAGATGAAAGCAAAATTGGAGGTGTAATGGACAGTGAAGGTGGTCACCTCAGAGTACAACGGGATCTTGATCATACACACTTAATGGTAAAGTCCTGGAGAATGTTGTTGAACAAAGAGGCCTTGGAGTGCAGGTTCATAGCTCCTTGAATGTGGAGTCGCAGGTAGACAGGGTAGTGAAGAAGGTGTTTAGTATGCCTGAGTTTATTAGTCAGTGCATTACATGTAGTAATTGGATGTCTTGTTGTGGCTGTACCGGAGGTTGGTTAGGCCACTATTGGTTCAATTCTGGTCTCCCTGTTTTAGGAAAGATGCTATTAAACTGCAAAGGATGCAGAAAAAAATTTACAAGGATGTTGCTGGGGTTGGAGGGTTTGACCGAAAGGGAGAGGCTGAAAAGGCTGGGGTTATTTTCCCACACTGCTGGAGGCTGGGGATTGACCTTATAGAGGTTTGTCCAATCAATAGGGCATGATGAATAGCCAAGATCATTTCTCCAGGGTGGGGGAGTCCAAAGCTAGACAGCATAGGTTTAGGGTGAGAGGGCAAAGATGTAAAAGGGACCTAAGGGACAACGTTTTTCATGCAGACGGTGATGCATGTATGGATTGAGCTGCCAGAGGGAGTGGTGGAGGCTGGTACAATTACAACATTTAAAACGCATCTGGGTGGGTACATGAATAGGAAGAATTAAAGGTATATGGGCCAAATGTTGGCAAAAGCGATGAGATTAATCTAGGATATCTGGTGGTCATGGTCTTCCAATCCAAGATACCTTCTTGCCATTGTTCTTATTCCATCCTGTACTAACAAAGCTACCTCCCTTTCCTTTCGTTCCTGCAGCTACACTTCACAGCGCCACCAACAGCATTTTCCAAATCCATGACCTCTCCGACCAGAGAAGGACAGCAGTTACAGGGGAACGCCACCAGCTGCAGTCTGCCCTCCATGATACACATCATCCTGCCTTGGAGATATATTGCTGTTCTTTCAGACTCCCTGGCTCAAAAAACCCAGAACTCCCTCTCTATCAGCATTGTGGATGAACTCACATCTCCACAGACTGTTGCAGATCAAGAAAGCAGCTCATTACCACTTTCTCGAGGGCAATACATGCTGGCATGTCAAGTGACAGCCACATCCCACCAATGGATTTTTTAAAAAACTGGCGCTGAAGACGAATTCCCCTCCCTTCCAGTCCACGTCTCTCCGCTTTTCAAAACCTAAAGACCTATATCTTCAACCAAGCTTTTGTCAGGCCTCCTAAGATCCCCTTTGACACAGCATTTAATTTGGTTAGATTCGTACGTTTATGTTTCTGAGATGTATCTTGGGACACTTGCCTAACAGAAGGTGTGATGTCAATGAAAGTTCTCTTTAAATCAAATTGTGACAGATTGGGAAAGCCAGTATTAAAATAAATACACAGGTAAATGGAGTTGAGTCACAGATCAGATATGACCCTCAATGAATGATTCATTTCTTTTTCTTTTCTTTTGTATTTTTTTAAATCCTCCTCTTCTCTCTTCCAGCCTCCAAACTCCTAGCCTTCAAAATTCCAGCCTCGGACCTCACGACTTCTGAACTCCTGGCTTCAGAACTCTCAGCCTTGGATCTCACGGCCTCCGACTTGCAGGCTCGGAACTCTCAGCCTCAGCACAGACCCGACGAGGCGTCCTCTTGGACCGTTATGATGGTCTGCCGGCCCAGCATGGCTTCGGCATGAACTTCTGTCTCAAGGTGATTCCAGAGCATTCTCCTGGCCTCATGAACCCTGAGCTGAAGCCAGGCATGGTCTGGAGTTGAAGCCCAGTGCAAACTGGAGGCTAAGTGCCAGCATGAACTGGGTAGGAAGACCTGTTCTGAACTTTTTTCTCCATTTTATAATTTATTCCAATAATCTGCAGTGCTGGACTTTGTATTTTGACCTCAATTCTTTCAAAGAACTGTAACTGAAAAAGCTGTACTTGGGGACCTTTGTACCTAAGATGGCACTGTAAGTGGTGACTTGTACACTTAAGGGTCACTGGACCCAAAATGTTAACTCTGATTTCTCTTCACAGATGCTGCCAGACTTGCTTAGCTTTTCCGGCACCTTCTGTTTTTGTTTCTGATTGACAGCGTCTGTATTTCTTTTGGCTTTTATTTAGTATTTCACTGTATTCATTTGAGTACATAGGATAACAAAGCTAATTCTGATTCTGATATAAGAGATCTGAGTGATTCATTGGCCCCTTCCTGTTCTTATATTCCAAATAAACCAGAACCCAAACACAACTGATGAACAGAATGACATAAGAGCTGGGGACAAGACACGGCAACAGGAAACCAGACCTTGTGCAAAGTTTGTGAGTGGGGGATGTCTGGGGAGAATGTACAGAAAAACTGGAATAGGTCATTCAGCCCCTTTGAGACTGCTCAGCATTTCAGTTAGACCCAGACTAAAGGACAAATAGTCTCCTTTTTTCAGTGAATCCCTACAGTGTGGAAACAGGCCCATCGGCCCAACAAGTCCACACCGAACCACAGAGCATCCCACCCAGACCCATCCCCCATGACCCACCTAATCTACACACCTCTGACACTACAGGCAATTTATCATGGCCAATCCACCTTGCCTGCATGTCTTTGGAATGTGGGAGGAAACCGGAGCACCCGGAGGAAACCCACGCAGACACAGGGAGAATGCGCAAACTCCACACAAACAATCACCCGAGGGTGGAATCGAACCCAGCTCCCTGGCACTGTGAGGCAGCAGTGCTAACCACTGTGCTAAAAAACATTGACATTGCCCAGCTTCCACTAGGGTACACCACAAGCGATTATTGCTAGCGGTGGGATACAAACCCACAACTCAATAGAGACTGGAGCTTAAATCCAGCACCTTAGACCACTCAGCCACGCTACCTTTTTGGGCTGGAGTACCTTTCCCCATGTCCTTACCCCATCCCCATACACTGGGCCTTGTCATCACATGGGCTGCTATCACAAACAACACATTGTCTTTGACTATTAGCAGCTGTTTTATTTCACTCCTTCATCACTGACCAACACTGATTGCTCATCCCTAATTGTTCTTGAGAAGGTAGTGGTGAGCTGTCTTCTTGAACTGTTGAAAGTGATATATTCTCTCCAAAGTATTTCATCACAGGATCCTTCTCTTCCAGGACCTCAGCAGTTTCTTAGTGCAAGCACTTCTCTTTGAGATAAGCCAGATAATTGGCGAAACAAAAGCAGAAATTGCTGGAAAATTTCAGCAGATTTATCGGCATCTGTAGTCAGGGTCTGGAAGTCACTATCTGAAAGGGGAGTGGAGGTAGAAACCCTGAACACATTTAAAAGGTGTCTGGATCTGCAGCTCGAATGCTAGAACCTGCAGGGCTACAGACACAATGTCAGAAAGTGGGTGAGGTTGGATGGATGTTTGTTTGTTGGCCAGTGCAGACACAATGAGAAGTGGTCCCTTCCTGCGCTGTAAATTTTCTGTAAATCTATGAACGGATTCACACAAATTAAAAAGAATACTTTAAAGCTCATCTCATACTTAGAATATTTTAAAGCACCAGAGATATGCTGAACTGTAATTTCAGAGTGAGGAATGACTGTTGGATTGCTCTCCACAGGAAGACAACATTTGTTGCTCAACCCCTTATTTAGCATCAGCGTGTTCATATATGCAAAGAGTTTCGCTAAGTCAAGAACTCTGCTGAGACACCAATAAGTTTGTATTGGGGAAGGAATCACTTGTTTAACCTGCTTCACTTCGCACCAACTTGTTCACATTGATCAAAGACATTTTCAATGTTCTGGCTGTGTGAAGTGTGTTAAGAACAGTGATCTGCTGAGCTGCAAACACACTCGCAATGAGGAATAAGCTAATCAGTTGCTGTGTGCGCAACTACACAAAGCCTGCTGAGAAACCAGTCAGTTTACACTGGGGAGAGCGCATTCACCTGCTCTGTGTCTGAAAAGGGATTCCCTTAGACATCCTTACCCACTGATACACCAATGAGTTCATAAGTGATGACGGAAATTGGATTCTGCTGTTGTTGCTGCAGTTAATCACATTCATAACTGAAACAGATTAATTCAGAGAATTGGGTTTTGTTTTCTTTCTGAGGTTAATGGCACTGTGATGTGACTGGAAGTCGTTATTTTAAAACAACAAATAAATCAGCTTTGTTTCAAACACACTGTGTTGTGTCCTCAGTTTCTCAAAGATGGCAGGAGCATGTTCCCTGAAATCCACCCAGGAAATGCTTTTAGCAGATATTCAACAATTGAACACATCACATTAAATAATTTTCAGCAACGTAGGAGTGAGGGAGATTTTACTCAGGCAGTTATTGTGATCTGTAATGCCCTGCCTGAAGAGGAGTAGAAGCAAATTCAACAATAACTTTCAGCAGTGAATCAGATCTCCTATTTTAAATAAAGAGTCAGAGGAAAGTAGGACTAACTGACAGCTCTTTCAAAGATGGTCGTGTCGCTATCAGGCAGGAGAAGGGGTGATGCCCAACTCCTGAAGAATAACAAGGAATCAAGGAAGTTATAATGAACCTGTATCAGACACAGATCACCCTCGAACGGAGCGTTGTGTTCAATACAGGGAACCACATTTTAGGAAGGAGGTGATCGCTTTGCAGATGTTTCAAAAAAGAAAATTATACAAGGCTGTAGAGCAAAAGCAGGGGGTAAGACAATCATTGGCATGGACACGTTGGGCTGAATGGCCTCTGTTGCATTGTAACCATTCCAATATTCTAATCAAAACTCTGAGGAATGGACAGGGGAGAGGACAGATTGGCAGCTTCTTCATGGATGGTCCTGAGCCACTAAAGCAACTCTATGTTAACTGGTCTGAAGTTCTGAAGAGTTATGCTGGACTTGAAATGTTAATTCCATTTCTCGCGCCACAGAGACTGCCGGAGCAGCTGAGTTTCTCCAACACTTACTGATTAAACTTAATCCAGCATCCACAGTATTTTGCTTCTATGTTAAGTGTTGTTTGATACCCACTTTTCAAATAGGGAGGCAATGGTCTCATAGTATTATTGGTGGACTGTTAATCCAGAGGCCAAGATAACGTTCTGGGTTTGAATCATGCCAATGCAGATGGTGGAATTTGAATTCAACAAAAAAAACCTGGAATTAAGAATTTAGTGATGACCATGAATCCTTTGCCAATTGTCAGAAAAACCCATCTGGTTCACTAACGTCTTTTAGCAAACCGCCACCCTGACCTGGTCTGGCCTATTTGTGACTCCAGAACCACAGCAATGTGGTTAACTCTCAACTGCCCTTTCGGCAACTGGGATGGGCAATAAATACTGCCTAAAAGCTACTCCCACATCCTGTGAATGAATAAAGGAAAAAAAGATATTGAGTTCCCTTTGAATTCTTTGTCAATAGCTTTCCAATACCCTGAGGACTTTCTGAATATATCAGAGGAACATTTGGAACAGAAGAAGGCCATTTAGTCCCTTAAGTCTCCTCAAACATTCAATTCAATCAGGACTGACCTTTATTTCATATACCTTTACCTTTGTTAAGCTCTTAACAAAAATCTAACATCTCCATTTTAAAATGTTCAATTGGCTCTCAGTATCCACAACCTGCCATGACCAGGGATTTTACATTTCTATTTCTCCACTTTGCTCTCACACTGATATTTCTGTGCCGCACTCACTGCACTCTTCCAGTGAAGTTACACATAAGCTTCAAGAAAGCACCTCATCTTTCAATTCAGCACTTTAAAGCTTTCTGGACTCACCATGGAGACCAACATTTTCAGACTGTGAACTCTGTCCCCTATTTTGTTTTCATTTCTCTTGTTTCAGTTTGTTTCTTTGTGAGCTGCACACCTGCTCCAGGCACATCTTTTGTTACTTTGTTTCTTTTCCAGCTCCAACTCCATTGTCTGTGGCCTTTCTGTCATTTAATCTTTCCTGTCTTCTCCCTTGTCACGGACCATCTTTTTGTACTCGCCTAACCCAAATCTTACTCAAATCCAATTACATTTCTTACGTTTCCCAGTCCTGATGAAAATTCATATACCTGAAACATTAACTCTATTTCTTTCTGCAAACATATTGCCTGAACTTCTGAGTTTTTAAAACATGTTCTGTTTTCATTCCGAATTTTTACAATCCTATGAAGAATATCCCTGGTGTAGTGTATTTATTGAACACTTCTGCCATTTCCTGGTTCCCCAATATTATTTTCCCAGTTCATTCTCTCAAGGACCTGTGCTCACTAGATTTAGACAGGCAGATTATTCTTTTTAATCGGTAGCACAGTGGGTTATCAGATCTGCCATGATCTCATTGAATGGCCTACTCCTGCTCCAACACCTTGTGGATGGCAGTGTTTTTAATACATGGTGGATGCCCCTACAATTGGCAGAAAGCTGCTGCATCTAATGTGGAATAGATGTTCTCCGGATGGATATTATCAGGCATGAGCAAACATTCCAACTCACTCGATTACCATTAATGTGGAAAGTTTTGTCATTATTTATACATCAAACTCGAAGCAACGTGCCAATTTTCCACACAAATGCATGTTGCTCCATCAAACGGTGAATGTGACCACAAGCGCAGATTTTCCTGAATTTGCCAGGGACAGAAATCTGTCTGGGGGATTAAAACATTGCCTGCTGGGAGATATGGCATGGATTTGGGAGGAAACAATTCATTCCAGGACGTTGTCGGGGTTGCAGGGTTCGGACTGTACCGCGAGGTTGAATCGGCTGTGGCATTTTTCCCTGGAGCGTCGG